TACCCAAATCTTGAGGCTTTTTTCCCCCGGGATTTGGCACTTGTCCGTAGAAAGCTCAATCAGGGCTACGAAAGCTCTTACGTCACCGGCCGCCAGCTTTGCTGCGGGATTTTTCCCCTCTTTGGGTGACATTTTGCCCCGATATCGCCCGTAATAGAATTTAATTAATCGCTCGTTTGGCAGCGTTCGAGGATTTGGCTCGTTATGTTTGACTTTTGCGGAATTTTCTGTAGGATTTACGTCTTTCCCTTCCTTGAAGAGAGGCAAAGGGGTGGATCTCCCCTAATAAAATAAACCCCGCGATATCCCAAGGGCTGATTTTTCTCCCCTTCACACCCTTTTTGGGGCTAATTCCCCCGGGATTGGGGCGCGAGCTCAGTCGGCGTCCGATCTACACCGTCACCCCGGTGGAATCCCTGGTGGAAATCGGGCAAAGCCGGCGTTGCCTCACTAAGAGACGGAGCAGAACCAGGAGCTGCTCGAAAAAAACATTTGATTTTTTTTCCTTAATTGGCACCAAAAGGGCAAAATCGGTGCCGGAAAAAGAGCCAAACACCGGAAAAAATCAGCGTCTCCCACCCACCGTTAAAATTTCACCGCGGGGATGCGAGTCCGAGGACCTACCGTTGGCTTGATTCTCCGAGTAGTTTGCCCGCAAGAGCTTTATCTCCGCCATGATTTCCATCTCTGGAAGGAAAATGAAAGGAAAAACCACGGCGGGATCACACCGAGGAATCGCGAGCAGCGCCTAAATTTGCCCAATTCATGGGTTTTTTTGGGCCGAGTGGGGAATTCCTGAGCAGAGACTGCAAATTTGCCTGATTTCTGGCTTTTTTTGAGGGGCCGAGCGGAGAATCCCAGCGTGGATTTACTCTGGATCGACACCCCGTCGCAAACGGGGGGGGGGGGGCCGGAGGAGGAGGCACCAAAAAGGCGCAAACGGGGGGGGGGTGCCAGAGCAGGAGGCAGCACCCGGCTGCAGCGCGCCGGAGGTCATTTTGGTGAGAAACCCCTAAAATCCACACACCAGGGTGGCACTAAAACCCAACCGCGGTGAGAGATGCTCAAAGCGCGGCGGGCACGAGCCGCGTGTTGCTTTTAACAGAGAAAATGCCTTTTTTTGGGGGTGTTTTACCCAAACCCGCTGCTTCCCCGCCTGGCTGGGACCCTTCCGGGGACACTCACGCTTCACCACGGCCAGCGCGAAGAGCAGGACCCACGCGACGAAGCTCAGCGCCACCAGGACGTAGAGGACGGCGACCGACATCACCCTGCGGCTCCGTCCCCGGCCACCTCCGGGTGCCACGTCACCTGCGGAGAGCAGCGCGGGAGAAATCGGGGAAAAATCCCGGCTTCCCGGGTCTGGATCCGGCCGAGGCCTCCGGAGCGGGATGGCGGCGCCGGTCGAGAGCGTCTCACCCTTTTGGGAAGGATTTGAAGACGCCGGTTTCCCCGCCAGGATGTAAACTCCTGTTGGGAGGAAGGAAAGAGGCGCTGGGGGGTGGTTTTGGGGCGGTTTAGGGCGAAATCCCGCCCCGCGGAGGTGCGGGCGATGCGGGGAGAGGAGGCGGGCGCTACCTGTGCCTCCTTTGCTCCTCTGGCTCTGCTGGTCTTCATCGGGCGCCGGCAGCTTGTGGCCGCGATCCGACTCCGACAGGGACACGTCGTCGTAATCGTCCTCGAAGCTGTCCGGGGATGCTACGTGAGGGGGGAAAAAAATGGGTGAAAAATCAGGGGTTTACACCAACGGGGAACTCCGGCTGTTAACGATCGGCTCAATCCTTCAACCGGATCACGAAATCCAATTCTCATTCGTGAAAGATGCCATTTCCCTTCCCCTTCGGTAGATCCTCGGCACCTCCGGCAAGGTTTTTATACCTTTTTCTCAATGTCTATTGATTTTATCATTTTTATAGAGTTTTATATCCTCACTCCCCTCTTTCGGAGCTGGGTCCCCCCCTTGGCTGCAAATCCAAGCGATTCTGCTGAAGCCTGAAGCTCTCCGTGGTGGGAGCGGGGGGGAATTTGGGCCTGCGAAGGCGCAAACGTCGGCTCCGAGAGGGGGAAAGGAGCGAGAAATTCCCCCTGATCCCCCCCCCCAGCGTGGATTTTGAGGGTGGTTTTGGGACCATTTGACCGAAGGAACCAAATTCAGAGAGAAAAGCAAAACACGTTTGACCAACCGAGCTGAAACCAAAGCCCGGTTCGGCCTGAGGGAGGCACCCCGGGGAGTTCTGCTTTCCATCCGCCGTCCAAAAAAGCCTGAAAAGGTGAAAAAACGAGGACTTACCGGGCCTGAAGTCACCCACGGGCGTCATCTTCCCTGCGACGGAGTAAATTCCTGCCAAAACAAGGAAAGGCGAGGTGTTGAAGACAAGGGGCGGATCCTCAAAGCCACCACTAGCGCCTCTTCTAACCCCGGCGCCGCCGGCCGGCGGGGAAGTTGGCGACGCTTTTTGAAGGCCCGGCGCGGAGAAACTGGGGCCAAACCTGGAGGTTTCGGAGCCGTTGAGTGCAAAGCGGGACCGGCGCGACTCCCGGCCCCTCCCAAAGGCGTTTCGCCCCCCTCCCTACGGCAGCAGAGCCCTGCCGGCGTTTTCGGCTTCACCGGGAC